GATTTATGTATGAAGTTGGAAGGGCAAAGAAATGGTGAGCCAGTTTGCTTATTGTAATAACTATTTTCTTTATGTACCAGCATGGTAACCCTTTCAGGGTTCGTGCCGTAGATCTACGGCTTTATGTTGAGGGTCCAAATCGTAGATCTACGCCATGAGCTCAGCTCACTCTGATAAGCTATGAGCAGTAAATTTAGGCCTAGATATGAGATAATATATCTATGTGGTATGTGTGCACCACATAAAACAAATCCTGCAGCACACAGTGCATAATGAGAGAAAAAAAACTGAGACTGTAATTTTCAATTAAAACAGCAACTTTGCAGTGTTTTTTTGTATGTTTTTTGTAGTAATATTTGTGATTTCTTGGTCTCAGTTGATAGAATGGAAGGTATATTACAGACAATGGCTTGAAGCTGAGCTCAAAGTAGCGGAAATGTTAAATTTTTGCAGATGTTCAAGAGTAAACAAATGACCTCGCACGTCTAATACATGCCAGCTGGTGGGTCTGATATACATTCACAAATGTGCTGATATTATTTATACAATTATTACAATATTGCATGACAGTAAATCTTCTATTTTTTGGTTTGAATAAAAATTCATTATGTGAATTAAAAATCAAAATGGAATTCATTTGTAAAGCCTGAAAATATATTTAATGAACAGAGGAAATGTTAGTTTAGTGCCAGGAATGCCTGCATTGTTTATTCTATACCCTATTTTGAAATTGGAATATTTTAAACTTTGCACTAAATTAGCCAAATTACCAATTTCCAATCACTTTATTTTGTAGTTGAAACAGTTGAGTTGGTGATTTCTTGTGCTCAATCGATAGAATAGAAGTAATACTAGTGAAATACCTAAGAATTTAGTCGACTGGAATAAGGTAATTGGCCTAAAATGGGAGTCAAAGTTAGCAAAATTGCCGATGCGTAAATAAAATTTGCGAGTGCATAATTTCATCAATTTTCCATCAAATTTCGTACTTTTTGTTTTATTACTTTCAGAAAAAGATTCTCTACCATTTCATAAGAAAAAATAAAATTATTTTTTGAAAATTCTTGGACACTGGTGCACACTTTGAAATTTGGCCTCTGGACCCTGAAAGGGTTAAGGAAACAATTTGAATGAGAGAAGACAATACGAGAAGAGAGGAAAAAATTAACAGCATAAATTACCTAAACTCGCTTAGACAGAAGAGTCATGTAGAATAATGTAATTCATAATTAATCAGAGAAAACACTATACAATATCTGTGAGCTCTGGTAAAATAATTAAGCACATTTAACACAAAACTGCAAACTGGTGTTATAAACTGCACTATTTATTGGAATGCAAGTCTAGGGACCAGTGTATAAGTACAGTATTAGTGGTTTGTTGCAGCAATTTTAATTATATGTGCTGTATTATGTTGCTGTGGTTATTGTTGTGTGCAGATAACAATGAATACCAATGGTAAAACATACTGACATGTATGTATGTAAGACAGTATGAACATTATGGCATTTACTGGGAAGATGGTTCATCTACCAGGGACTTCATTAATTCATACAGAGATGAAGATTTGTTTTTTTCAACATGTCTGCTGTCTCCCACCAAGGCAGAGTGATCCAAAAAAGAAAGAAACACCATTATTCACATATAATCACTGTCTTTGCAGAGGTGCTCTGATATGACAGTTTAGATGTTACTCCAAATAATCAATATCCCAAACCCTTTAAAGTGCAGGCATTGTACTTCCCACCTCCAGGACTCAAGTCTGGCTAACCGGTTTCCCTGAATCCCTTCACAAAATATTACCCCTCTCACACTTCAACAGCTTGCAAGGTCCCAAAAACCATTCGTCTCCATTTACTCCTATCCAATACGCTCACCATTCCTCACTCCATCCTTTCCCAGGATGACCCGTACCCCTCCTCCCCCCCACTACAGATTTATACACCCTCCAAGTAATCCTGTTTTGCTTCATCTTCTCCAAATGACCAGACCACCTCAACAACCCCTCTTCAGCCCTCTGAGTAATACTTTTAGTAACTCCACACCACCACCTAATTTCCACACTACAAATTCTCGGCATAATATTTACACACATTGCCCTTAGACACGACATCTCCACTGCCTTCAGCTTCCTTCTTGCTGCAGCATTCACAACCCATGTTTCACACCCACATAAAAACCATAAAATATTATACAGCCTCTCCTCACTTAATGACAGAGTTCCGTTCCTAAGACCTCGTTGGTAAACAAATTCGTCAGTGAGGGAGTTCATACTATAATGGTAGTGGGTTTGTATCACCCATCTTTGATATTGTTTTAATGTCACCTTTGCACCATTTATAGCATTTCTGGTATATTTTTAAATGTTTATACAATAGTGTACTGTATATTGTAATAAGCAGAATAGAGGAAATCAGCTCTAACATGTATTATTTAGGTGTGAATACTGGTCAAAGAGCCAGTCGTAAGTCTGAGTCATCGGTAAACGAGTACGTCACTAGGAGAGGAGAGGCTGTGTAAGTATAGTGATGATGAACTGGTCATAGAATATTACATCAATATATTTATGATAAAGATAGGTAGGGAAGTTTTCATTGCATTTATGGATTTAGAAAAGGCATATGATAGAGTGGATAGGGGAGCAATGTGGCAGATGTCACAAATGTATGGAATAGGTAGTAAGTTACTAAATGCTATAAGGAGTTTTTATGGGGATAGTGAGGCTCAGGTTAGGGCGTGTAGGAGAGGGAGATTATTTCCTGGTACAAGTAGGTTTTAGACAGGGATGTGTAATGTCACCATGGTTGTTTAGTATATTTATAGATGGGGTTGTGAAAGAAGTAAATGCTAGGGTGTTGGGAAGAGGGGTGGGATTAAACTATGGGGAATCAAGTACAAAATGGGAGTTGACACAGCTGCTTTTTGCTGATGATACTGTGCTCATGGGAGATTCTAAAGAAAAGTTGGAAAGGTTAGTGAGCGAGTTTGGAAGGGTGTGTAAAGGCAGAAAGTTGAAAGTGAACATAGATGAGAGTAAGGTGATGAGGGTATCAAATTGGATATCACATTGGAGAGAGGGAGTATGGAAGAAGTGAATGTTTTCAGATATTTGGTAGTTGATGTGTCAGCAGATGAGTTTATGAAGGATGACGCTAATCAGAGAATTGATGAAGAAAAAAAAGACGAGTGGTGCGTTGAGGTATTTGTGGAGACAAAAAATGTTATCCACGGAGGCAAAGAAGGGAATGTATGGAAGTATAGTGGTACCAACACTCTTATATGCTGCAATGAGAAGGTGGCTGGAGGCAGTTGAGAGGTTCTATCTAAAGGCAGTGTGTGGTGCAAATATTATGCAGAGAATTTGGAGTGTGGAAATTAGGAGAAGGTGTGGAATTAATAAAAGTATTATTCAGAGGGGTGAAGAGGGTTTGTTGAGGTGGTTTGGTTATTTAGAGAGAATGGATCAAAGTAGAATGACTTGGAGAGAGTATAAATCTGCAGGGGAAGGAAGGTGAGGTAGGGGTCGTCCTCAAAAAGGTTGGAGGGAGTGGGTAAAGGAGGTTTTGTGGGCGAGGGGTTTGGACTTCCAGCAAGCATGTGTGAGCGTGTTAGATAGGAGTGAATGGAGATGAATGTTTTTTGAGACATGACTTGCTGTTGGATTGTGAGCAGGGTGATATTTAGTGAAGGGATTCAGGGAAACCTGGTTATTTTTATATAGCTGGACTTGAGTACTGGAAATGGGAAGTACAATGCCTGCACTTTAAAGAAGGGGTTTGGGATATTGGCAGTTTGGAGGGATATGTTATATATCTTTGTATATGCTTGTAAACTGTTATATCTGGGCGCCTCTGCAATGGCAGTGATTATGTTTGAGTGAGTTGAAAGTGTTGAATGATGATGAAAGTGTTTTCTTTTTGGGGATTTTCTTTCTTTTTGGGTCACCCTGACTCGGTGGGAGATGGCCAACTTATTGAGTGGTTTTTATGACTTGACGTGCTGTTGGAGTGTGAGCCAGGAAACTAGTTAGCTGGACTTGAGTCCTAGAGGTGATGGTACAGTATCCACATTCTTTAGGAGAGGTGTGGATATTGCATCTAAGCTGTAATGTCACTGTGCTTCTGGTAAGACAGTGGTGGTGACAGTGTTACTTCTTGTGTGGGTCACCCTGCTTCAATGGGACATGGTTGGCATGTTAAAAAAAATAATATTCTATGACCTGCTCATCATCTTCCTCACTATATTTATGATGTAATATTCTCTGATCAGCACCGGGGCACCTCTGCAAAAACAGTGATTATGTGTGAGTGAGGTGAAAGTGTTGAATAATGATGAAAGTATTTTCTTATTGGCGATTTTCTTTCTTTTTGAGTCACCCTGCCTTGGTGGGAGATGGCCGACTTGTTAAAAAAAAAAAAAAGTAGTATAATATTCTGTGACTTACATATACGTATATCTATCCTCTATTTCTTTGTACTATCTGTATAAATTGATTGTCCCTGGTGGATGAAATAGCCTCTGAGTAAATTCCATAAAATTCATATTGTCCTGTTCCAGTCATATGATTTTATTTTAGGGAAAATTGAGTCTGAAGATAAGACCACATGTAATAGTCGTCATATCTAAGAGGAGAGTAAGGTCATGTCCTGGATAAATATCACATTAAATACTACTGCTGAACCCTTCTTGATGGAGTGAATATTTAACCTTTAGATCTACAGTAAAAATGAATGATCAAATACCTTTAATTTAGGTTTTAGTAAGGTTATGGCATTAGTATCTTGTTATATATACTATATATAAATAGTGCAAAATAAAAAAAATGATAAAACTATTATTTAGCTATCTATTCCTTACGCCAAGTTACATCATAGATAATATATCTGAAAATTTTGTTTTGTGCTACTTTAGCACTTGCAGTTTAGTTCTCATGATATTTTGAGTGAAACAGTCCATTTGATTCTAAATAACTAATTTGGTTCATGCCATTTGTGGTTCAGATCAAACAGATGTTGAGAAGACACTCTCCTGTTCTGATCATCACTCCTCAGGTATTTTGAACACCAGATGAAGTTTGAGTTGTGTGATGCTAAGTTTTGCATGTATGTTGGGAAGTTCACTCAGAATGGAAGGGGCACTAAGGTACCCATCCTGTGTGTTCTTGTAAGTTTAATCCTGTTTCTCTTGTAAATAAGTAAATCAGTGGGATGCAAAATAAGATATAACTGTAATTAGCACATTCTTTTCCTGCTTGATGTCCACTTAAGCTGTTAAGAAAAGTTTTCTTCAAGTGTTAATACTCTACAGAGATTTTTCTCCAGTTTTGCTCTTGGTAAGTTTATTTAATGCTACATTAAAATGACATTTCTCATATCTACATTTTAGTAATACAGATCGGCCATCACAAATCCAGCAATCAGTCATCCAGTTCTATCAGTTATTTGGCACTAATTTCGGCTAGCATATTTTCAAATTTCCAGGGTCACCACACCAACCTGCTACTATTGTTTGGTGGCACTACTTGCTGCATAAGTCATTCCAATTTCTTTTTCTCCATTTATTGTTATAACCTGCTTGCTTTTAGCCCTAGCCATGGTTCCAATAAATAAAAAAAATGCTTCTTGTTGTGTATAGCACATGCACAGTACATTGTCCATAAAAGATAAGGTGGCTTTGAAGCCACTGTCGGTTGTCATGAGCTCAGTCTCGTGATACAGGGGAATATGCTTTATTATTACGCTAATATCAACACTACGGCTTATTTTCTTATCACAATTGATTTAATATAAATAACATAAAAACATGGTAAATACTCCAGAATTAATAATAATTGGCATAATACCGAGTGGTTTGACGGAGGTATGAAGAGGATATGGAATATAAATACCATTCTCCTGTCCCTGTCTTGGGGGCTTATATTAGAGAAAACGGAGTGTAGCACAGGGCTAACTGTGATATACACTCGTAATGCACCATAAAACTGAAACAAAAAGGCTATTTTTTATACATAGATTATCATACATAGCAGCATATGTGTAGAGAACCTAGGATAACCCAAAAAAGTCAGTGACTTATTTCCAGTAGGGGAGACCGGGGCTAGTTGGCACACTTTTTACATTTTCGGTGATGAAAGAAAAACAACAAACGATTTTGGCAATTTTGTACTTCCAGTGAAAAATATAAATCTTCCTTTTACTTCACATGAAATAATGAAATTATTTTTTTTCGAAACAAAAGCACATCATGCTTTAGAAAAAAAAACATTTTACATGTGCCAACATGCCCCATGTATGGGGTAAGTTGGCACACACTATGGGGTAAGTTGGCATAGCAAATAGTAATAGGAAATTAGGAATATGTAACAGTAAATTTAGATAATGATTATTCATAATGTTTCATTTCAAGAATATTCAGTTCCATAGAAACTTAAAAATCTTTTCTTAGTAAGGAAAGAAACCTTTTTTAATAAAATAAAATTAAAAACTGACTAGGTGTTATACATTCAATTGAAAATAATTGCACTTCCAGATAATAATTGCACAGAATACTTAACACCTGAGGTGAACTTAATCTAAATCATCATCTGAGTCACAGTTGGGGCATGTATAAAACAAATCTTTATCAATGCAGGCTTCGTGGGCCCACAACTTGCACATTCTACACTGTATCCATACTTTTCGTGGTTTGCTTTTGGAAAAAGGACCCATACATACCAAACAGAGACTGTCCTCTTCATCTGAACTTTCCTCGTCACCATGAACAAACACATTTTGATTTCTTTGATTTTTTCTTCTTGCTTCTTTTGATATCTTTTCCATTGTTTTTTTCACTGGCGTGTCAGCCAAAATGGCAGAGGAGCGTTTCCTCCTGTTCATTCCACTTCTCTTCCTGGGACCAGCTTTATACAATGGCCTCAGTTCTTCGGGAGTTGGAGCTTTCTTCCCACAGAGTCCAGAAGTAGAGGGTCTAGTTTCATTCTCATCTTGAAGGTGAGAAACATTCTGAACTGAACAAGATTTTGACTGGACTGTTGCAATCAGACTTTGTGGTGTGTCATTGCCGTCTGAATTATCACTTAAATTTGTCACAGGCTGAAACACTTGCATTTCTTGTTGATCTTCCTGTGGTCTGTCAGTCACGTAAGCACCCAAAAAATCAGAACCCTGGAATATGTCTCTATTGAAGGGTGAAATCCCAGCAGCCCTAAACCCAGCCCTCTCAGTTTTCCGTTTGTAGCTTCGAACCATTTCTGAAAAGGCAACATAAATGTTGTACATGAAAGTAAATAGTAGAGTGGACCCCGGTTAACGATATTTTTTCACTCAAGAAGTATGTTCAGGTGCCAGTACTGACCGAATTTGTTCCCATAAGGAATATTGTGAAGTAGATTAGTCCATTTCAGACCCCCAAACATACACGTACAAATGCACTTACATAAATACACTTACATAATTGGTCACATTCGGAGGTGATCGTTATGCGGGGGTCCACTGTATATCAAAAATAATGAATCAGAAATATAACTCAAATACAGTGGACCCCCGGTTAACGATTTTAATCCGTGCAAGAGGGGTAATTGTTATGCGAAATAATCGTTATGTGAATGAATTTTCCCCATAAGAAATAATGGAAATAAAATTAATCCGTGCAAGACACCCAAAAGTATGAAAAAAAAAATTTTTTACCACATGAAATGTTAATTTTAATACACACAAACTGAAAAAGGCATGCACACTTACATGACACTTACTTTTATTGAAGATCTGGTGATGATTGATGGGATGGGAGGAGGGGAGAGCATTATCTTCTTACTGTTTAGAAGGGGAATCCCCTTCCATTAGGACTTGAGGTAGCAAGTCCTTTTCCGGGGTTACTTCCCTTCTTCTTTTAATGCCACTAGGACCAGCTTGAGAGTCACTGGACCTCTGTCGCACAACAAATCTGTCCATAGAGCTCTGTACCTCCCGTTCCTTTACGATTTGTCTAAAATGGGCCACAACATTGTCATTGAAATAGTCACCAGCACGGCTTGCAACAGCTGTGTCAGGGTGATTTTCATCCATAAAGGTTTGCAGTTCAACCCACTGTGCACACATTTCCTTAATCTTTGAAGTAGGCACAATGGATTCCACAACTGGCATAGGCTTCTCAGGGTTAGCCCCAAACCCTTCAAAATCTTTCTTAATTTCCATACTAATTCTCACCCTTTTTACCACAGGGTTGGCACTAGAAGCTTTCTTGGGGCCCATGGTCACTTATTTTCCAGAAACACCACCGAAAACACTGTAATAATACGAAATATTCCGAGTGTATGCTTGGATGTTAGCGCGGAGGCTGCCTGGTAAACAATGGCACGGGCGGCACATGTGAGGCTGGGTGAGGGCGCACATTGGACGCGTCTCGGACGAAAATCGGTGAGCGGGTTTTTAATCGGTATGCGCGGCAAAAATTTTGCGATTAAAGTAAGCGGTATGCGAAATAATCGCTATGTGATGCCATCGTTATGCGGGGGTCCACTGTATAATCTAAAACTGTAAAGTATATAAATAGTAATGTGGGGCAAGTTGACACTGTGCCAGTTTGCCCCATTTTTGTTGAGCCAACTTGCCCCAACCATACTAATGTTCATAAATAAATGGTTTTAGTATATATTAATAAATCTAATATAAACTGTTTCATGGGTAAACAATCCTTAAACACTAAGTCAAATTATGGCTAAATTGGGTATTTCTCATACATGTTACAGCAAACAATATAAGCAAATGATAATTTACTTACCGGCATCAAAATCAAATTTTACCCCACTCCAGTTAAGTACTGCAACCTCTTGGTATGGTAGCTTGTTGGTGAGTGATTAAATATGTGGTGATCCTATGATGTAAATAACAATGCTGTCTAGCGGTAAATATTTGAATTATTACAAGTGTGTCAACTTACCCCTGTTGCCAACTAGCTCTGGTCTCGTAGATCAATGGTTCAGAGAACCGGCACGTCGATAAATTAGACACGTGTGCAACTCTTGGGTATCTTTATTGAGGAAATGTTTCGCCACCCAGTGGCTTCATAAGTCCATACAAAGGAGAATCTTGAAGAACAGGAGGAGAATGAGGTAATTAGTCCCTCAGCCTTGAGTCGATGTGGTCAGTCTATTCAAGATTGATGGACTGACCACATCGACTCAAGGCTGAGGGACTGATTACCTCATTCTCCTCCTGTTCTTCAAGATTCTCCTTTGTATGGACTGATGAAGCCACTGGGTGGCGAAACGTTTCCTCAATAAAGATACCCAAGAGTTGCACATGTGTCTAATTTATCGATTAGCTCTGGTCTCCCCTACCTGGCTTGGGCTTGCCATATATGATTTTTGGTGAATATTTTTTTTTCTCAGTTGTTTGTTAGGCTATCTTATTGAAGCTTGCTCAATGTATGATGGAAAGATGCTTCTTAACGTATGCCAAAAATGAAAGAAATCGGACAATAAATAATGGAGTTCACTACTCAGCCATTAGCCGCCCCTTAGCAGTATATTTTCATATGGTTTTATGGTTGTATTCTTGTTTCTTTTTTTTATCTCATTTGATAGAATGGAAGATATATTACAGAAATAGATATGATTTTGATTGGTTTCACGACGAAAAGTACATATCCTGAAATTGAGCTCAAAGTAGCGGAAATGTTCGATTCTTTGACGATGTTCAAGAGTAAACATATGATGTCACCATCCATTACACGTCCGACTGGCAAGTCCAATACACAGTCACGAATGGGTTGACATTATTTATACAATTATTACAATAATGCAGTAGTCTGCATAACAGTAAATCTTCTACTTTTTGTGTGAATAAAAATTCAAACTGGAAAGCAAGAGTATTATAAGAGGGGCTTGGAGATGTGACTAATGAACAGAGAAAATGTTATTTTAATGCCAGCAATATCTGCATTGTTTATTCTGGACCCTATTTTGAAATTGGCATCTTTTGAAATTTGCATGAAATTGGCCAAATTGCCAGTTTCTGACCACTTTATTGGGTAGTTGGAATAGGTGAATGGG